TGCTTATGCCTCTGAGCTAAATCCCCAGCCCCTGAGGGAAAAATCTTTATGGGGAAGGTAGCCTTAGCCAGATTATTTTGAGAATATAATTCAAGGACAGTTAAGGAAATTGACAAGTTGTCAACTCATAATCTCTAGGCATTAAATGAAAAATCAGGAAACTGGGGTTCACACTGCACTCATCACGTTATGAAATGTTTCTGTATGATGAAGTCTTTAAAGGTCAGACATGGTCAGATTGTTTCAGAATTTATTTGATTCTAACTGCTAAGGATTATTTTTAGGCGGCGAATCGGTGAAGTGGAAGCAAAATTAGAGAAAATGGCGTGCTCATTTAAAAACCAGGCAAGGAATAGAGTGCGCTGTGGTGACAGCATCCGTTAATCCCCCACACAGGAGTCATGGAGGGCTGCAGCCCCGGTGACTGGTCCCTCAACCTGCGTCTTGCCTTGTTCTCTTGCAGCTTGCTACTGAGAAGAAAAAAGCCCATGAGAACTGGGTAAGAGCCTCCTCGCCTCGCCTCGCCTTGCATCGCCCTCTCCAGCTTCACTCAGCCACTGTGCTGAGCTGGCCTCTCTGTCTCCACAGCTCAAAGCCTGAAATGTAGAGCGCCTGGTGGCAGATGAGAAGCGGCAGGCCGCCAACCTGCGGCAGAGGTTAGCAGCGCGTGGCGCGATGCGATGCGTGGCGCCCACGTTTTAGACCACTCAGGGTGGCTATGGTCACCCCCAGCCCTACTGTGTCTGTGTGCAGGCTGGTGGGAATTACCCAGAAGCTGGATATGCTTAAAGAGGAGCCTGGGATCATCAAGCGGATGCCAGACTGTCCTGGAGTGCAGGACGCGCCCCACAGAGGTGGGCACTCTGTCCTTCTGACTGGGACTCAGGGAACTTAGCCACGGCAGAGAACGGCTAACCAGCGCGTGTGTTGTCTCCTCAGGTCCCCTGAGCCAGAAGGGCTCCTTGGGCCGGTCCCCTGTGAGTGGTGGTGAGTGCTCCCTGCCCCCAGGCGCAGAGCCTCCTGGATGGCTGCCCTCTGGGAGCCTGAACTTTGCATGCTGCGACATCCCCAGAGCCGACTTCGGTGAGCCTCTCCGGGGCCTCCAGTCCTGGACTCTGGGACACCATGCTGCCTTGCCCCGGGCATGGTTCCCTGAGCTCTGGTACAGAGCCCGGGCAGTCCCGGCTTGGGTTTCCACTTAGCCCTGGGCCCTGTGCAGGCCCACCCCCACTGCAGTGCAGGAGCAGGGTCCTGGGATCAGTCGTGCACCCCATCACTACCAACCCTCTCTGGCTGTGGCATGGCAGAGGCTGCAGTGTCGCCCTCTCCCTCTCTGCACAGTGTTCAATGACTGGGCGCACTTTTGTCACCACTGACCTCCTGGCCACCCGGAACGGCTCCTGAGCTAGGCAGGTCTGAATGTTACTGGTTCTGTGTGCTGCTCCCAAACCATGTGGCCGCTGTGTGCGGGCTCAGTCTTCCAAGACCCTGTTTTCCTCCTCCACAGCCTGAGACCTAAAGCAGCCTCCGCCTCTGGCTTGGGCTGCCACAGTGCAGCTTTCCCAGCTCCCCAGGTCCATGAAGTGCTGACCAGGTGAAGCCCGCACAGGCTCACAGGCCTCCTTCGACCCCCACTACCCCCAACCCCACCCCCACTTCACGCCTGCTCAGTGAGCCTGGTACCTCTGGCTCCACGCAAGGGCTCCCTGGCCTCCTGCCTCCCACAGGCCTTGCAGCTGCCTGTCAGAGGCAGCCATGCCTCTGCTCCCTCCAGGGACAGTCCTCGGGGCTCTGCAGTGTTCCCCAGGGCACTTCCGAGGGCGTGCCCGAGGCCTCTTCCGTTCCTCGTCATCCTCATCCTCATCCCCGTCCTCCTCCTCGTCCTGGGAAAGTCCTCTGAGTGCCTTCTCTGCCCCCAGATCCCGGCCCTGGCCCATGGCCAACAGCAGCTCCCGCGGCTCCTCCCCAGCAAAGGACATGGACAACGCCAAGGTGGGCCTGGAGCCCGTGCCTCGGCCCGAGCTGCTCCATGTGCCTTCGGTTTCCACTCTGTTCTCCAGCTGGCCTGGGCGTGGCGACCCCGCGGACTAGGTCACCATCTGACTGGGCCTTCACTAAGGCTCGGGCCGTGTGCTGAGTGCTGGAGCACAGCACACCTCACGCCCCTGCCTTGAGTGTTTGGTCAAGCTGGACTTGACCTCACAGTACCCAGAGCCCACCTGCAGTTCCCTAGCAGTCCTCCCCCCTCAGCCTCCCGAGTGCGGGATGACCGGTGTGCATCGCCACACTCGCGTGTTCTTGATTTTTGGGAGCAGCTGTTGGGGTCCTCAGGGTCTGTGCTAGGCAGACCCCTTGCAATGATCGGGATGAGGTGGGCGTGGGCTCTTGTGGGAGTGGGAAGCCGGTTCCAGGGCCCCCTGAATCCGACCCCGGGCGGCCCAGGCTGCTGTGCCTCCTGGTCCTGAGGCTGCTGCCTTGGCAGACTTCGCACCGCATGGGGCCGCCTGCAATGGTCAGAGCTCCATGGACTGCCTTCCAAGCAGCCCAGGCACAGGTGCCTCCTCCAGCCCCTCCCTGTGCAGTGTCAACTGGCCTAGGCAGCTTCCTGTTCCCCCAGCTACCCCGGGACCCTGGGAGCCCTGGTGTCGCCCCTGTTGTGCCCAGGGCCACGCTCATGCTGGCAAGAGTGCAGTGAGCTGGTGCAGCGCCCCGCTGGCATCTCTGGAGCTCCTCTCTGCATGCAAGTGGTGACAGTGTGGTGACCATGCTCGCTGCCTGGCATGCTGCTCAAGAGGGGCCCGCAGGGTCCGGGGATCCCTTGACTCCTCTCGGGACGGGCACCCGGTGTCACTGCCGAGGTCGAAACTGGGCCTGCTTTTGTTCGCAGGTGAGCATGGCCGTGAAGAGGCCCCCAGCCCATCCAGGGCCCCCGTTCCTGGGAGGCCCCATGCCGCCCCACATAGGCTATGGGTCGCCTCCGCCACCACTGCTCTGCAGGCCCTTCGGGCCTCGGCCGATGCCTCCTAGGCCACCGCCACCATTCGGTACGGTAGGACACTTGGGCCGGCACCACCGCCTACCCTGTCCTCTCGCCTACCCTGTCCTCTCTCCTCTCCTGTCCTGATCGGCAGCTGCAGCCCACCAGACTCGAAGCATGAGGCCCAGCACTCTGAGCCCAGTGCAGCCTCCACAGCTGCTTGGACCAGAAGGGCCCTTCCGGCAGAGCCCAAGTGCCAGTCTCACAGGGGTGGTCACCCGGGACGCCACAGGCGGCTGGCACTGGGAGAAGGGAGGGTCAGGCTGTGGTTGAGCCTTACTGAGCCTCAGTTTTCCTTATCTGTGAAGTCCAGTGCATCACTCCACTTCCTGGCGCAGGGGAAGGGAAACCCTTTCAGCAGACCTGGGCTGCTCCTCAGGACGTGTACACATGTCCCTCTTGCTTTCCAGTTGCACGCATGGGCCCACCACTGGGCTTAAGAGACTATGCGACCGGCGTGCTGCCCGGACGCCCCGACCTGCCTCTACATCCCCGCGAGTTCTTGCCAGGACCTGTGCCATTCAGGCCTCCAGGCCCTCTCTGCGACCGAGCGCATTTCATTTCGGATCCGCGAATGCCACCACCACCCGCTGGACTCCAAGACTACCTACCACTGCCTGCCAGGCCCCAGGCCTACCCACCACCATGTGCCGGGCCTCAGGACTATGCACCGACGCCTGCCAGGTCCCAGGAGTACCAACTGCCACGAGTTGGGCCCCAGGACAACCCACAACCCCGTGCCGGGCCCCAAGAATACCCACCACTATGTGCCAGGCCCCAGGACTACCCACCACCACATGCCTGGCCCCAGGACTACCGACCACCACGTGCCGGGCCCCAGGACTACCCATCACCACCAGCTGGGCCGCAGGAATGGCAACCACCATGTGCCGGGCCCCAGGACTACCTGCCACCTCCTACCAGGCCCCAACATTAACCACCGCCACCTGCTGGGCCCCAGGACTACCCACCACCACCTGCTGGGCCCCAAACTACCCACCGACACCTGCCAGGCCCCAGGACTGCCTACTGCCACCTGCTGGGCCCCAGGACGACCCACCAGCACCTGCCGGGCTCAAGGGCTACCCATGACCATCTGCTGGGCCCAAGACAACCCACCGCCACCTGCCGGGGCCGAAGACTAGCCACCACCGCCTGCCAGGCCCTAGGACTAGCCACAGCCACCTGCCGAGCCCAACTGTCCAAAACTGCCTGCCCAGCCCCAGGACTACCCACCACCGCAAGCCGGGCCCCAGGAATACCCACCACCATCTGCCAGGCTCCAGGACTACCCACTGCTGCATGCTGGGCCCCAGCACTAGTCCTGGGGCCAGGCAGGCGGTTGTGGACAATCCTGGGGCCTGGCAGGTGCCTGTGGCTAGTCCTGGGGCCCTGCAGGTGGCGGTGGCAGGCGGCAGTGGCTAGTCTTGGGGCCTGGCAGGCGACAGTTGGTAGTCCTTTGGTCCCGCAGGTGACAGTGGCTAGTCCTGGGCCCCGGCAGGCGGTGGTGTGTAGTCCTGGGGCCCGGCAGGTGGTGGTGGGGAGTCCTGGTGCCCAGCAGGCGGCAGTGGGCGGTTCTGCAGCCTGGCAGGTGGCTGTGGCTAGTCCTAGGGCCTGGCAGGGGGTGGTGGTTAGTCTTCGGCCCCTGCAGGTGGCGGTGGGTTGTCTTATGAACTGGCAGGCGGTGGTGTGTTGTCCTGGGGCCTGGCAGTTGGCAGTGGGTAGTTCTGGGGTCCAGCATGGGGCAGTGGGTAGGCCTGGAGCCAGGCAGAAGGCAGTGGGTAGTCCTGGAGCCCGGCAGATGGCAGTCGGTATTCCTGGGGCCCGGCATGCAGTGGTGGGTAGTCCTGGGGCCGGGCAGGCAGTTTTGGACAATTGGGGCCCGGCAGGTGGCTGTGGCTAGTCCTAGGGCCTGGCAGGCGGTGGTGGCTAGTCTTTGGCCCCAGCAGGTGGCGGTGGGTTGTCATGGGCCCCGGCAGATGGTCGTGGGTAGCCCTTGGGCCTGGCAGGTGGTGGTGGGTCGTCCTGGGGCCCAGCAGGTGGCAGTGGGCAGTCCTGGGGCCCTGCAGGTGTCGGTGGGTAGTTTGGGGTCCAGCAGGCAGTGGTGGGTAGTCCTGGGGCCCGGCAGGCAGCGGTGGTTAATGTTGGAGCCTGGTAGGAGGAGGCAGGTAGTCCTGGAGCCCGGCACATGGTGGTTGGCATTCCTGCGGCCCAGCTGGTGGTGATGGGTAGTCCTGGGGCCCGGCACGTGGTGGTCGGTAGTCCTGGGGCCAGGAATGTGGTGGTGGGTAGTCCTGGGGCCCGGCACATGTTAGTGGGTAGTCCTGGGGCCTGGCACGTAGTGGTGGGTATTCTAGGGGCCCAGTACGGTGTTGTGGGTTGTCCTGGGGCCCAACTTGTGGCAGTTGGTACTCCTGGGACCTGGCAGGCGGCGGTGCATAGTCCTGAGGTCCGGCACGTGGTGGTGGGTAGGCCTGGCACCCGACAGGTGGAGGTGAGTAGTCCTGGGGCCTGGCAGGCGGCGGTGGGTATTCCTGGGGCCCGGCAGGCGGTGGTGGGTTGTCCTGGGGCCCGGCAGGCATTGGTGAGTATTCCTGGGGCCCGGCAGGCGGTGGTAGGTAGTCTTGGAGTCCAGCGGGTGGTGGTGGCATTCGCGGATCCGAAATGAAATACGCTCGGGCGCCGAGCGGGCCTGGAGGCCTGAATGGCACAGGTCCCGGCAAGTACTCACGGATGTAGCGGCAGGTCGTGGCGTCCAGGCAGCATGCCGGGCGCATAGTCTCTTAAGCCCAGTGGTGGGCCCATGCGTGCAACTGGAAAGCAAGAGGGACATGTGTACACGTCCTGAGGAGCAGCCCAGGTCTGCTGAAAGCGTTTCCCTTCCCCTGCGCCAGGAAGTGGAGTGATGCACTGGACATCACAGATAAGGAAAACTGAGGCTCAGTAAGGCTCAACCACAGCCTGACCCTCCCTTCTCCCACTGCCGGCGGCCTGTGGCGTCCCAGGTGACCACCCCGCTGAGACTGGCTTTCGCTCTGCCGAAAGGGCCCTTCTGGTCCAAGCAGCTGTGGAGGCTGCACTGGGCTCAGAGTGCTGGGCCTTGTGCTTCAAGTCAGGTGGGCTGCAGCTGCCAATCAGGACAGGGGAGGAGAGAGGACAGGGTAGGCGAGAGGACAGGGTAGGCGGTGGTGCTGACCCAAGTGTCCTACCGTACCGAATATTGGTGGTTGCCTAGGAGACATCGGCCGAGGCCCGAAGGGCCTGCAGAGCAATGGTGGCGGAGGCGACCCATAGCCCACGTGGGGCAGCATGGGGCCTCCCAGGAATGGGGGCCCTGGATGGGCTGGGGGCCCCTTCACGGCCATGCTCACCTGCGAACAGAAGCAGGCCCAGTTTCGAACTCGGCAGTGACACGGGGTGCCCGTCCCGAGAGGAGTCAAGGGATCCCCAGAACCTGCCGGGCCCTCGTGAGCAGCATGCCACGCAGCGAGCATGGTCACCATGCTGTCTGCACTCGCGTGCGGAGATGAGCTCCAGAGGTGCCAGTAGGGCGCTGCGCCAGCTCGCTGCACTCTTGCCAGCATGAGCGTGGCCCTGGGCCCTACAGGGGTGACACAAGGGCTCCCAGGGTCCAGGAGTAGCTGGGGAGAACAGGAAGCTGCCTCGGCCAGTTGACACTGCACAGGGAGGGGCTGGAGGAGGCACCTGTGCCTGGGCTGCTTGGAAGGCAGTCCATGGAGCTCTGACCATTGCAGGCGGCCCCATGCGGTGCGAAGGCTGCCAAGGCAGCAGCCTCAGGACCAGGAGGCACAGCAGCCTGGGCTGCCCGGGGTCGGATTCAGGGGGCCCTGGAACCGGCTTCCCACTCCCACAAGAGCCCACGCCCACCTCATCCCGATCATTGCAAGGGGTCTGCCTAGCACAGACCCTGAGGACCCCAACAGCTGCTCCCAAAAATCAAGAGCACGCGAGTGTGGCGATGCACACCGGTCATCCCGCACTCGGGAGGCTGAGGGGGGAGGACTGCTAGGGAACTGCAGGTGGGCTCTGGGTACTGTGAGGTCAAGTCCAGCTTGACCAAACACTCAAGGCAGGGGCGTGAGGTGTGCTGTGCTCCAGCACTCAGCACACGGCCCGAGCCTTAGTGAAGGCCCAGTCAGATGGTGACCTAGTCAGCGGGGTCGACACGCCCAGGCCAGCTGGAGAACAGAGTGGAAACCGAAGGCACATGGAGCAGCTCGGGCCGAGGCACGGGCTCCAGGCTCACCTTGGCGTTGTCCATGTCCTTCGCTGGGGAGGAGTCGCGGGAGCTGCTGTTGGCCATGGGCCAGGGCCGGGATCTGGGGGCAGAGAAGGCACTCAGAGGACTTTCCCAGGAAGAGGACAAGGACGGGGACGAGGATGAGGATGAGGACGAGGACCAGAAGAGGCCTCGGGCATGCCCTCAGAAGTGCCCTCGGGATCACTGCAGCGCCCCGCAGACTGTCCCTGGAGGGATCAGAGGCATGGCTGCCTCTGACAGGCAGCTGCAAGGCCCGTGGGAGGCAGGAGGCCAGGGAGCCCTTGCGTGGAGCCAGAGGTACCAGGCTCACTGAGCAGGCGTGAAGTGGGGGTGGGGTTGGGTGTAGTGGGGGTCGAAGGAGGCCTGTGAGCCTGTGCGGGCTCCACCTGGTCAGCACTTCGCGGACCTGGGGAGCTGGGAAAGCTGCACTGTGGCAGCCCAAGCCAGAGGCGGAGGCTGCTTTAGGTCTCAGGCTGTGGAGGAGGAAAACAGGGCCTTGGAAGACTGAGCCCGCACACAGCAGCCAAGTGCTTTGGGAGCAGCACACAGAACCAGTAACATGGGGACCTGCCTAGCTCAGGAGCTGTCCCTGGTGGCCCGGAGATGAGTGGTGATGAAAGTGCGCCCACTCACTGAACACTGTGCAGAGAGGGAGAGGGCGACACTGTGGCCTCTGCCATGCCACAGCCAGAGAGGGTTGGGAGTGATGGGGTGGGCGACTGCTCCCAGGACCCTGCTCCTGCACTGCAATGGAGGTGGGCCTGCACAGGACCCAGGGCTAAGTGGAATCCCGAGCCGGGAGTGCCCGGGCTCTGTAGCAGAGCTCAGGGAACCATGCCCGGGGCAAGGCAGCATGCTGTCATGGAGTCCTGGGACTCGAGGCCCCGGAGAGGCTCACCGAAGTCGGCTCTGGGAATGTCACAGCATGCGAAGTTCAGGCTCGCAGAGGGCGGCCATGCATGGTCCTGAGGCCCGGCACTTGGTGGTGGGTTGTCCTGGGGCCCCGCAGGCGGTGGTGGCTAGTCCTGGAGCCCGGCACGTGGTGGTTGGTAGTCCTGGGGCCTGGCAGGCGGTGGTGGGTAGTGCTGGCCCCTGGCACATGGTGGTGGGTAGGCCTGGTGCCCGGCACGTGGTGGTGGGTAGGCCTGTCACCTGGCAGGCGGCGGTGGGCAGTCCTGGGGCCCAGCATGCGGCGGTGGGTAGTCCTGGGGCCCGACACATGGTGGTTGGTAGTCCTGGGGCCCGGCAGGCGGTGGTGGGTAGTCCTGGGGCCTGGTAGGCGCTAGTGCGTAGTACTGGCACCCAGCACATGGTGGTGGGTAGGCCTGGCACCCGGCAGGCGGCGGTGGGTAGTCCTGGCACCCGGCACGTGGTGGTTGGTAGTCCTGGGGCCTGGCAGGCGCTGGTGGGTAGTGCTCGCGCCTGGCGCGTGGTGGTGGGTAGGCCTGGTGCCTGGCAGGCAATGGTGGGTAGTCCTGGGGCCCGGCAGGCGGTGGTGGGTAGTCCTGGGGCCTGGCAGGCGGTGGTAGGTAGTCCTGGGGCCTGGCAGGCGCTGGTGGGTAGTGCTGGCGCCCGGCACGTGGTGGTGGGTAGGCCTGGCACCCGGCACGTGGTGGTTGGTAGTCCTGGGGCCTGGCAGGCGATGGTGGGTAGTGCTGGCACCTGGCACGTGGTGGTGGGTAGGCCTGGCACCCGGCAGGCGTCGGTGGGTAGTCCTGGGGCCACACAGGCGGTGGTGGGTAGTCCTGGGGCCCGGCAGGCATCAGTGGTTGTCCTCGGGCCCGGCAGGCATAGTTGGGTTGTTCTGGGGCCCGGCAGGTGGCAGTGGGTATACCTGGGGCCCGGCAGGTGGCAGTGGGTATTTCTGGGGCCCGGCAGGGGGCGGTGGGTACTCCTGGGGCCCGGCAGGTGGCGGTGGGTATTTCTGGGGCCCGGCAGTTGGCGGTGTGTACTTCTGGGGCCCGGCAGGCGGCGGTGGGTAATCCTGGGGCCCCGCAGGCAGTGGTGGGTTGTCCTCGGGCCCGGCAGGCATAGGTGGGTTGTTCTGGGGCCCGGCAGGCACTGGTGGGTTGTCCTGGGGCCCGGCAGGCAGCAGTGGGTTGTCCTGGGGCTCGGCAGGTCGTGGTCGGTAGTCCTGGAGTCCAGCGGGTGGTGGTGGCATTCGCGGATCCGAAATGAAATACGCTCGGGCGCCGAGCGGGCCTGGAGGCCTGAATGGCACAGGTCCCGGCAAGTACTCGCGGGGATGTAGCGTCAAGTGGGGGTGGGGAGGTCGAAGGAGGCCTCAGCCTGCGCGGGCTCCACCTGGTCAGCACTTCGCGGACCTGGGGAGCTGGGAAAGCTGCGCTGTGGCAGAACAAGCTAAGAGCACAGCATGCGCCAGGCTCTAGCTGCCTGTGTGGGAGATGAGTGTACCCCGAGGGAAGCCAGGATTGTCCAGCAGAGCTGCTGGGAAAGCAATAGGCGGAGTCTACCCACCCCTTCCCCCATACTGTCAGGGAAGAGCTGTTCCTCTAGACCTAGGCCATGATAAGCACACAAGATAGGCCAAATGGGTGGACGGGAGCCTTGGCCCCAGCCAGAAAGCGAAATGTGGGCCCCAGAGGCCAGTGCTGCCCTCCCTCAACCCACACATGGAGGACAATGCCAAAGATGCTGAACTGAGCCCTAGACAAATCCCTAGGCTTTAAGAAACAAGCAGTGGAGCTGAGGCTACAGAGGCAGGGATGCTGGGCCCAACTGCTAGCTGGATGAAGATGACGGCGGACAGGCAGGAGCAGCCTCAGGTCGCCATCACAGGAAACCAGAAGGACCCTGGGCCCCAAGTTTCCTCTATGATCACTGCACATCGAAGCTGCTAGGCAATCAGAAGTGACAGGAATGGCCAGCATGAGACACTGGGCAAAATCTCTGGGACTCACTTCTGCAGCTCCAGCTCCTTCTGGTGGGACAGCTCCTTCAGGACCTCCACCTTCTGCTGCAGCATGCTAAACTCCTCCTCCAGCCGGGCCTTGTCTGCCTGCAGCCTGCCGCAGTCCTCACCTAGCTTCACGATCTGGTCTGGGAGGTGAGACACGTCACCAAGGGCACCGCCAAAGACACAGAACCAGGCTCCCAGCATCCCTGCCTCATTTATGCCGGCACTCAGCCTGACCACCATGCGGTCAGGGACCTACCTTCCAGATCACATTTGGCAGACAGGGAGGCTCTCAGCTTCTACTGCAGGAGTTGGAGATCATTCTGAAATACGGATATTGCGGGATGTGTCTGAAAATTGTGAGGGAGAGGCACAGGCTTGAAAGTAAGGCTGAGTCAGGACTCAAGGGCCCTGGGGGGGCTCTGTGAAGGGACTCACCTGGGAGACATCCATCAGCTGGTGAATGTGAGCCTTCTTATTTTCCCCACCTACAAAGAGAACAAGTGAGGCTGTGCCTTCCTGTGCCGTTTCTAACACTGTGGTCTTGACTTCCACAAAACTAAACTAATGTCATGACACACTGTAAAGAAAAACAATTCACCAACAGAACTGACACACTGACTTTCATGACAACTGCACCCTTAGATTTTGTGAGCTCCTGCGAAGACAGCATGCCACATGGTCTAGGGGGAGCTGGCCGGCGTGGGTCCAGACTCGCACTCTGAGCACCCTCTGCAGCTGGGGTGGCACCCTGACCACTTTCCTCATCTCAGACCCTGCTGCTCTCCAGCCTCTGCCCTCACAGCCTGGGCTGTGGCTCCCCATCCCCACACTCTAGGTGACCCTGGCCAAGTACCTGAGAACCACAGAACAGCAGAGGCCGTGAGTGCGGACCCGTGTGTCATCTCCAGAAAGCTGAGTGAGTGTCTTCTCTGGCACAGAGGCTGACACAAAGACAAAGGCTCCAGCGTACACATCCAGTTCTCAGGGGTGGAAAAGCAGCTTTCCCCGCTTGCCTGATGCTACTGGCATCCCAGTGACCCAGACTTAAGTACGAATTATTCAGATGTTGGGAGCCATTGAAGCTGGAAACCGACCACACATGCAGGGCCAGGGCATGGCTGGCCCAAGAACAAAGAGTCCCTGGGGTTGCCATGTGAAGAAGCTGCCTCAGCCCAGAGATCACCAAGCCCCAAGACAATCTGAACAGTGGGCTGCTAGGACAACAGTGTGTCACATGACATTAAGTTGCTAAAACTTATAAACGCCCCTGCAGTGAGGGGCCAGTTCCTTTCTTCCCATGAGGAGGGTAAGGGCTCCACCTGACCCCAGATTGGTCTGTCTATTTTCTCATCCTCTTGTCGTCCTTCACACTAAGAACCTAAAGAGCTGCATGGGTCAGTCGGGGCAAGAAGAAACTCAGCTGAGAAGCAGTATCCATGTATGGAATTAAAGACAAAAATGCTTAGGAGACTGAGGTAGAAATTTTGCTGTGGGTTTGAGGCCAGTGTGGGCTACACAGTGAGATCAAGGCCAGCCACTACATAGAGACCTTGTCTAAAATAACAATAAAGAGAAGAAGACAAAAAGGGCCCTTGAAGGGCCGGGGATTTAGCTCAGTGGCACAAGCACCTGCCTGGTGAGTGCATGGTCATGAGTTAGATCCCTGGTTAAAAAAAAAAAAAGGGCCCTTGGGCTAGGGACGGTCTTACCTCCCACTTCTCCTTTGGCTAATTCACCTGGCTCACATCTGCCTGGACCTCGACCCTCAGATTCCGATCCCCTCTCCTCCAACCGGTTCAGCTGCATGATGCAGTTGTTCAGAGCCTAGCAGAGAAGAGAGCAGCAGTTAAGAGCCTCTCCATCCTCACAGTGGGTTGTTTTCCAAGTGTTCATGATCAGGCTGGGCCGGCTGGGGTAACTTACACCAATGCAATCATCCTTATCATGGAGAGTGGCTTCCAGATCCCTCTGAGACTTTTCCAACGACCTGATTCGCTGGCTGAGTTTAGCGTTCAGCTTCTTCTGGTCTTCAACTTCCTGCTCTAGCTGAAAGTCACATGGAAGGGTCCCTGCGGACTGGGGATTCCACAGAGGCACAGGACCATGCAAGTAGGATGGGGAAGCAGGAGTCCTGTCCCTCCTTGTCCCATCGCAGAGGCTAAGACTTGGTTCAGGACTGCAGAGTGTGACTTCCACCCTGAACTGTCAACGAAGCTGACCCCATCCATCAAGTCCTTCTGAAAAATGCCTGCTGACTCAAATGCCTGACTTCCAGGTGGCACCCGTGGGCATGTATTGCTGGGGCTTAACATATTCCCACTGGCATGAACCGCTGCAGGGCATGCAGGACTGTCCTTACCACCTAATGGGACTATCCTGTGTATCCCCCTAGCAGGAACATAACCCATTCACATGGGAACTGCCAGCAGCTAGCTGTGGGATTTCTGGCCTCAGTGTGTGTGTGTTGATCACAGATCCCTGATCTAACCTTCCTATGGCCAATGTGAGGCAGTAACTGTTAGAGGAGGCTTAGCAAAGCCTTAAATCTGAGGTTTAAAAAGCCAACCCCTGGCCTTGCTGAGGCCAAAGTAATGACTAGTATCTAACAAGACAAGGGCCAAGAACTGCCATCAATTTACAGAATTGAAAATCCACGAGAAACACAAAAGGAGCCTGTGCCCTCAGTAATGTGCAAGCTGGGGAGGACAGACTCGATGCTCCCCAGCTTGCTGCAGGGGCCTGCATAAGCAGCTCCTCATGAGAAAAGATGACAGAGCTAAAGTCGCTGGGTTTTGCACCCACTCTGACCAAACATTTACAAAATCTGCACTTTCCTCTTCTTCAGCCTTGTGTTTTCTTCCTGAACCTGGTGGCACTCAGACTTCACCTTCTCCTCACTCAACTTGCCTTCATTCAGGGCGACCTGAAGCTAACGCACAACACGACTGTTCAGGAGCCGCGCCAGGGAGGGGCCCCCAGCCCTGCCCCTCAATCATGCACGGCCTCTGCATTCCATGGCTCTCAGCACTCATCAGGTCACCACTGCTCCATGCAGCTGAGTCTCGACACTGACACCGGCAGGGAGTGTGGGCAGCATTACCTTGGAAAATTCTGAAGCATTCATTGAAATAACCTCCTTTAGCTTCTCCACAGATTTCTCATTTTCCAGGACCTGCCACGGAAGCAAGGAACACACAGAACGCATTAGGACTGTGGGAGAAACACTGATACATATGCTAAAGAACAAAAACATTACTACAAGGTACCCCAAACTATCCACTATGTTTTAGGTAAAATCGGGATTAAACGTGGTCTGGGGAAAAAAATCTGCTTAAAGAGCTGAGAGAAAAAACTGAAGTCAAGAGTTTCATGGCACCCTCAAGCTTTGGGGTTATGTTACTACATAGAGTATAAAGAAATGTCCAAGCACACCATGGAAAATGAACAGCTTTTTCTGGTGTCAGGAAAAGAAGCCACAAAAGGTCTGGAGATTTAGCTCAGCAGCATTAAATGCCTGCCCGCCAAGCACTGGGTCATGAGTTCGATCCCTGGCACCAAAAAAAAAAAAAAAGCTCCAAGATCACTTTAAACATGTTCTTGTCTGAATTAAAAATGGTAAGAATGCTGGGTATGGTGGAGGACGCCTGTAATCCCAGCACTCAGGAAGCTGAGGCAGGAGAGTTTAAGGCCAGCCTAGGCTACAAGGTGAGTTCACAGCCAGCCTGAACTGCATAACAGAACCCAGTCTCAAAAAGACAAAACCAAAATAAAACAATAGAAAAAAAAGTCTTTCTGGGGGGATAGAAAAATCTCATGTGCCAAATTTCTCAATATTTATGACAATACTGGCTCAAGGGGTGACCCTAACCCACCGTTCTTTTAACTGCAGGTTGTATGTCATAACTTCCTGCCAAACAGCATGCTGCACAAAGGACTGAAAATGGGCAATTCACCAGGTGTGTGCTGAGCAAAGGACCAGGCCACACAGGAGGTGGGAAGCATGAGAACTCTCCTCACTACATTTCCGCTTAGGGGATTTGCAGACTATTCGAAAGGCACAGAGTTCACTGTGAAATAAAACCAGTTTACACAGACTACTCAACTGGACCAATTTTTTAGTGACTGTGTGTTCTGGAGGACACAACTATGAAATTATCCAAGATTCAGGATCAAAACACTTCCCGTGCCTATAAAAACATTCTACTGAATCAGTACTAAAAATCCCACAAAATGAGTACAGGCATGTTCAGTTCTGTTATTCCTAGTCTCATGGAGTTAACAGCATGGGAACAGCTCAACTGATTTACGAAATACCTAATAATACACCTGTAGTAACATGCAGCAGCAAAACTCACCAAATCCTGATTTTTCATGTTGCATTTCCGCTCACATTCTAACATATCACCAAGAGTTCGGGCCGTATCATCCAGAAATTCCTTGCTTCCTTCAAGCACCTTGATTTTATCCAGAAGAAAAGAGATTAAAAGTAACAGTATGCATTAATGCTTGCTTTTGTTTTTAGACTATAATCCCCCAAAGAGAAGGACTTTTACCTTGTATTTAATTGCTTCCTCAGAGAGAATCCTATTCTGATTCTTGGTCTCCTGAAGAAGCCTCTGCGATTTATTGATCTATGTAAAAAACACATTCAGAACTAAGTAACAGAAGTCACTGTGCTAGTAAAACCTTGTTCCAAAGAAGCAAGCAGAGCGTTCCTTTTACACATGATGGTGCATAAGATCTGGAGGGCTCAGAGGAAATGATGAAGCGAGAACACAGGCCTTCAAAATACCGTAATAACTGAGCTACACCACAGACGCGCTAGAGGAGGGCCCGTGAGAGGTTCTACCTTCTTTTCATAACTTGACAATTTTTCTGCAAGTTGTGCATTGTCCTTTGTGGTAGTCTTCACCTTTTCGGCAATCTGCTGTTCGGTGACTAAAAAGAGGAAATAGCCAGGTTATTAGGAGCATTAAATGGAACTGAGCTGCACAGTGTCTCAGCAGCAAGGACACCTGTGAGGCTCTGTGAGAGACAGGGCTTAGCACAGCTACCTGCCTGTCCAGAGAGACCCGAAGCTAACAGCAACAGTGCACAGGACACTGTTAAACTTTAAGAAAACTATAGTAATACTTGTTTTGAGGAGATATCAATTACTGCAAAGGCAGGAGATACAGTAAAATGTTACACAGTTGGAGAGGCTCCTTTCACAAAAGGCACTTGTTCTCTGAAAACGGATCACTTCAAATGAATGTCATTTGCTACGAGAAAAAGAAACTTTAGGCTACAGATCTGCACTGCTGTCTCTCGAGCTCCTGTGCCGATAAACCTATAGGGGCCGAGGTGTCCCTAGCACAGACACACTGTCCTCTCTCCACACCTGTGTGGTCCAGCCACGCTCTGTCTGCTCCAAGTAAGCAGTCACCCCTGCCCCCACATCTCCTAGCTCAGCCAGTACCACCACCCTACCCATTATACCATGGTTAGTAGCAACAGTAAAATGTGGAGCAGTTAGTGAGTCAAATCAGACACCAAAGTCACTGTCGCTCCTAGCCTGCCTAAAAGTCCTCCCAAACACCAACAGGAAGAGATTTACCCTGGTATATTCTCTCCTTTATCTAGAAGAAAAAGAGAGAAATTTGATGTCAAACATTTGATTAAAAGGAATGCATAGTTCCTAACACAAGTCAGAATCATAACCAAGTGAAAATTTAGTAACTTTAGTTCAGAATAAACCCATACAATTAAAAATGTATTATAAATAGCCTCTGATACAGAGGAACAGTAAGCAGCGTGTCTTACTTCACAGCTACACACAGGCTTGTGTGCCAGGACCAAGTGAACACCAGGCTTCTGACATGAGCATTTGGCTTCAACAGTGAAATGCTTGTTTTTATAATACACACATTATTGATTTACTTACTCAAAATTACTTGACAATCCCAAAGACAAGCATGCAGTCTAGAAATGGGTGACCATATGGAAGACTGGTGAGCGAGATTACCAGCATAACCTTTGCACTAAGATACGCCTCTCTCACCCACTGGAAGATACCTCAGAAACCCTATTTCAAGTGATCTATTGACTCAATTAAGAAATAATCTAATACAGCTCATCATCTGATTTCCCCAGACCACAAAAACAGTAATAAATCTAAGCAGAAGGGAAGACACCAGAAGAACACAGAGAAATGACAGCTAACGGCTTCCAGGAAGAGCACAGACCCAGTTCTTCTTCCCAGTGCCTTCTGGGGTCATAAATCCTAAACTGCAACTAATTAAATACCACAGCAGCGATCACTGCACTTCTCTGTAACGCAGACTCTGTCTTCTCCTTCCGAGTGCTATAAACAGTATAGGACAGCAGAGCGCAGTGGCCAGCTGAGGGGCGTGGGGGGGAGGGCGACTGTGCTCTCCAGGATCAGGAGTGTCCCCTCAGAGCCATGTGACCTCTGGGAGTGGGAGGAAGTGAGCCCAGGGGCAGGGTGTGAAGCTGCAGGGCTGAGCCTGAGAGCCCTGCTGGGTAGCAGCTGCAGGGGAACCAAAGGAGAGGAGCAGGGGAAACAGCACCTTTTCACCCCCAAACACTCTGCGTACCCTTCCAGGCGTGCTTTCATCCAAGAAGCTGTTCAGTGAGATTCCAGAAGACCTCACAGGAATCTTTCATAGGGTGCTGTTTTGGGGTTGTTTTTGGTGGTACCTGGGATAGGGCTTTCACAATGAACTACATTCTCAGCCTTCCCATTTTTCTTGAGACAGGCTCTTGCTAAGTGACCAAATTGCCCAGGCTGGGCTCAAACTTGCACTTCTCCTGTCTCAGCCTCCCTCTCCTCCAGGGCTGCAGTAATGCACACACCACTCTGCCTGATCTTGCCTGGACGTTTCTACCATCTTACTGTATTTCTTGCCCTGTATGTTTCTACAGCACAGTTCATCAGTACCTCACGGTCTGTTTCCCCTTTTCCCACTTCACATTAAATCGTGAACACCTTCTTTGCCCCCTGCCTTTGAAATACATACAGCAGCCTAATATTCTGTTCTGTGGATATAAATAAGGTGAAACATGATATTCCCTAATATAGATCATTTAGGTTTCACCAACTTATTACTCTATTAAATACTACATCTAATACCTTTGTATAAAATCTTAACATGTAATTTATTTAAGATCACTTACTGATGTTGTCATACCATATAAAAGCAATTTATATTTCTTATCCTGTTTTGTATCCCATCTTAAAGGCTGATGATATATAGAATTATTAAACTGCTTTTCAGGATGGCTGTATGAGTCACCAACTCTACTAACAAGTGGATATGGTTAGCTTGCTCTTAAGTCTTTGCCAGTACCAAGATTACATTATTTCAGAAAACTAACTTGAATTATAACCACTGATTTGTTTATGTTAATAACTGAAAGGGCCAATGATAATAGAATCCTCAATATATTCAGAAGTCAAACAACAAGTTAATTCACTCACTGGAAAAACATTCCTCCACAAGAAAATCACAAGCATAAGGATTCCAACACAGGTAGTGAGCAATACAGGCTCCCAGGGGAGCCCATAAAAGTCTCCAGGCCCGGGCTGGAGATTCTCAGGTAACACTGCAACCAGCTGAAAAGGAAGGGCACAAATAACGGAAACCCATTAACAGAACTGGAGGAGCAATCACAAAGGATCATCACAGATACTCTCGATCTACTCTCCATGGTCTAAACCAACTTCCAGGTGCCCTGTAGAAACTTCCGGAAAGGGGATACAGTCAGGCTCACGTTCTTGTCCCCTATGTGGAGTCTCTGAACTTAGGGAGTGAGCTGAGCCAATTTCCCAGTTGGCCAACAGCCCTTCTTCATCTCAGTGTCTCACGCATGGCCCAGATCACGCTTAGGTGAGCTGTTTTCTATTACTGCACACACACACTCACACACACACACACACACACACACACACACACACACACCCCACATTGTAAATACATGATAGAAGCCATCGGTTTGTGTGTCTGTAAGCAAAATCACTATGACAATGATCGCCACAAATCAGGCATCACTCCTCCAGGAGGCTGCCTCTCAATTCGGTGCACCCTCAGGAAACAATCCTTGCAAGGAAACAGGTGGGGCGTGAACGTGGCTCCCAAGGCGATGGCTGGCTTCAGACCATGCCGCTCCCTCAGGACAGCCCGGCCCTCTGCAGTCCACACCACGCTCCTGCCATCCGGTACCTTCCGAAAGGACCGTCCCACCAGCGGGCAACCCGCGCCCCTTGCCCAACCCTGGTTCCCCCGCCTCACCTTCAGTAGCAGGGCTACAAAGGCCGAGTACAGCTTCGACAGGCGCTTCAGCAGCTCGGGGGACCCCGGGGACACGAAGACCCCGGCTACAGTGGCTGATTGATACCGTGTCCATAGCGAAGGACCGCTCGCTGCGGACCCGACTGGACTGGGCAGGGACCGGCAGCACCTGGCCCGACCAGGCCGGACCCGGCAGTGGCAAAGAAGTCTTTCCCAGTGGCAGTGGCAGCAGAGGGCGGAACTGCACAGCTATACCTTCGGCTTCGTGCTGCTCTATGAACCATAAACATAGGTAACAGAGGGTCTCCAGGACGACCACAAAGGGGCAGGGCTTCACTGAGGGGGCGGGGCGAAAGCTGGACACTGCGCGGGGGCGGGGCGGGAGCGTCCAATGAAGGAGGCCGGCGGGCGGAGCGCCCAATGAGGGCGGCCGGGGGCGGGGTCCTGTGGCCACAGAGCAAGGCTGGCCAGTAGCCGCGCTAGGGCACCAAGCTCAGGCGCCTTCACCGCTGGGCCTGGGCACCAGGCCTTGCAGTGCCACTACGTGGCTGCTGGCCTGGCTGGCACCTTCGACCGGGTGGGGCGGGGCCACACGTCAAAGTTCAGGGTGCAGACCCCTGGCGCGGCGGGTCACCTCAGAGCCAGGCCCATGTTGCAGGTGGCTGGCATTGTAGGTGAGGGAGCCTCCCCTCCTTATTCACAGTGTGGATTAAAAGGATCAGCAACTGATGGCAGAAACAAACGACTGTATCAAAAGAGCGTTGGGTGATTTTTTTCTATGTACTCAACAGATCTTTCCTGATTATGTCTCAAAAATCAAGAAGCAAAAAGGGAAAAGACTGTAAATCTGATTACTTAACGCAAAACAGAAAGAAAACATGGAAAGGAAAGTTTGTAAATGGGTAAGGGGAGGAACGTTGAAGGGAGGGTAGGGGAATGGGAAAGTAAACAGTACCATGTAGAGGTACAAATCCTCTATGATGATCATTAGGTATGTCCCAAATGTACCAATAAATGTAACTGAAGTGAAAACACACAACGCTTGTTCAGCCCCTGCCTACAGAAACAAAACACACGGAGAATAAGCTAGTGAGGCTCAGAAAAGATGTGTAAGTAGCTGTGCCACGGGAACACGGCTGCATGGCTCCTAACTGCACAAAAGCTTGCTGAGGTGGCTGGCCAGAGCCCTGAACTGAACAGCACTGGGGAGCGATGGGGTGGGGCGCTCTCCCAAGGTGCCTCGCTGTATGGAATGACAAGGGCCCTAAATGACCGCTGCCTACCATTTAAAGAGATTATGTCAAATTAAATTTGAAAGGGTTTTGGCCCAGACGGGACTCTAGCCAGAAAAGCCTCAACAGGAACCAGGAAGCTCCTATCTCCCCCACCCCTAGGAATTTACTGTGATGTCATCTTCCCCACCCCTGGGAATTTACCTATGGCGCCAAACCTAGGACCAGGGATTTGGCTCAGCGGCTCAAGCACTTGCCTGGCAAGTACAAGGTCATGAGTTCAATTCCCGGTACCAAAAACAAAAAAATGAACACTAGTGGTCCTGCCTACCCCTGACAACCATGAAAACCTTTTATAGGCACTACTGCAGACCCCCTCCACAAGCCCATACAGGTCACTCCTGAGTCTCCATCAGCCTATTCTCCCTTTGTGGATCAAGTCCTGATGCTCAGGTTCCTTTAAAATCACCCCAGGAGTCCAAAGGTCATATCACCAAGGTCATTAAAACTGGATCCTGGGATTCTCCACTGGCTTTGATATTTGGAAAACCTCAACCCACTGAGGACACCACACTGAACTCATAAATGACAGAGAAAAAAAAACACAAGACTTTCCACCAGACAGCCTGGCCTTCCACAGTGGCCTGTGCCAGAGTCAGGTGCTGGGTGTTATTTTGTGAGGGTGGTATCTAAGCCAACACTTGACACGGGGCAGGTAGGTACTCAACAATAATCTCCACACGAATCATCTACTCCATCCTGTCCTCAAACAACAAGACCTGTTTAAAGGAGCGGTTTTTTCCCCCACTGGAAAATAATAACTTTAAAAGCATGAAAAAGAGAAAGTCACTTAGCTCAACCCATCTAGAAACAACGGAGGTTTGGTATTATTAGGACACTTCCTTCCAGTTATTTTCTAGGCTTGTTTTTTAAACCTTTGGAATTAGATGGTAGGCACACTGTAACTTTTACCAGAAACATAGTCCCTGATTATCTTTTAATTTGCTCCCAAATATTATTTTGCATAACTTCACAAACCTCCATGTTAAAGACACATCCACTGCAATTCACCTATCCACTATCTCCAGCCCACACCAGTGGAAATATAGGTTGCTACCAAATTTTTACTAGAGTTTTTAAACAATCTGAATGATGGGTGCATAAAAATATCATCTATATTTCATTTTTTGTCTCAGCTACATCCCCAGAAGAATAATTATCTTATTAGACTATTTGGCCATCTTGAGATTTCCGCTCAAATCTGTAAAACTGAACCAAGCTTTATATTTATTCTATACAGAAATGAGGGAAGGGGCTGGGAGCTATAACCCTAGTTAGCCCCATTTGTTTATTTATTTAGAGAAAGATGCTGACAGTTACCCAAGCAGGGCCGGAACTTGGAATCCTCCTGCCTCAGTCTCCCAATTAGCTGGAATCACACACGTGCACCGCCACACCAGCTCTTTTTCTTTTTAATTTGAGGTCTTCATTCTAGATGACTCTGATTTATCTACAGACTAAGCAGTCCTTCCCAGCTCTGGGCCTCCAAATCAGACAAACGCATCTTCCTTATACTCAACCCAACCCAAGCCAAAATCAGAGCCCTGTGGTGCTCACTTTCTGACCTCCTCCCAGGCTGACTCTGCACCAGTAACTAACAGCGTTTGCATAGGATCCCTAAATTAAACCAATACCACCACCCAGCCCCTACTATTAAATCATACTACTTATGATTTAATACAGACAAGTGTATCTTAAGAAACTGTGAACTACTTTACTAAAGCTGCTGCATCATTCCCTTCTGGTTTAGTAAGCAAAACATCACATAAAACAGGAAATAGATTCAACTTGATGTAATTCTGCTGACTTCTAGGTACCCTTGCATCCTATGGCCATATGCTTTTAAGAAAATTCCTAACTTGTATCTGTGTGTTTAAAAAAAAAAAAAGCAATACTTTTAGGTAAATTTTGTCCTACCTGCAAAAAGCAGGGAAACTATTGGTCAGCCCCTGTCACCTGCAGCTTACCTGGGAGGAGCTCTGAATGGTGGGTAGTTAGGACTCAGGGAAAAGCCAGAGTGTCCTCAGCCATAAAGATTTCCCACACCAGCTGCCCCAAACACACCTACTCTTCTGTAGCCATATATGCATTAATACCTGGGCTTGAGCCAGCTACTCTGCAGCCAATATGAACCTCTCCAGACTATGCACCCTTCTCCACTGGGGCTCCCAATTCTCCTTGGTCTTCTTTTATGGGCCCACAGAACCAAAGCATCTCAGAACCTAATGTCCCAAGGCAACTGACAGCTGTGACTCACAACTCACCAACTCATAACCCCAACATCCCTTTCAGAGAGACATGCCAGGAGCCACGATCTAATCACGCCAGCCAGAAGTAGAGGCAGGAGAGAACTTCAGATCACTAGAAGTCTGCCTCGCTTTCTAGATGACAAGGCAAAGCCCTCTCTAGTAAATCCCATGCTGTTCATCATGAAAATATTTCCAAGGCCCAGCCAGCAGCTCCCCAGCAAGAGCTGCTCACTGGCCTAAAGCAAAGCATGGCACTGGAATCCTCGGATTCCACAGTCTCTGGCTCCTGCCAGAATCCTTGGGGCGGGGAGGGGGGCACCCATGGCCTGTGACAGCAGCACACATTCTCCAGCATGGCATCCAAGACTTGAAAACTGAGGTCACAAAGCCAAATGCCGATGGGACACAGCAAGAAATGCCAAGCAACTGGACCCAGGCAGGCAAGAGAGGACGCTGGAATCATGATGCTTGGGAGCAGCACGCCTGACCCTTTCCATAGGCAATGACCACCCCTCTGCTGGAAATGATGGTCAGATCTGACTCTTTTCAAAAAGCCCACAGGTTTTCTGGATTATTTCTAATGTTTAAAAGCCTTTATGCTATCCAAACTGTAACAGCATATAGGCTTGAAAATTTCTACAAATCCCTCCTTAACACAGACCTATATACTTCCTACCTCTCCAATCTAAATTCTCCCTGCTCTATCACAAGAGTCCCATGTTCTTCACACCCACACGCACATGCTATGTCGCTCCTAACTCCTCTAACTTGCACAGGAGTTTCTCCCATGTGACATCTGAGACACCCAAACTGTTCACCCCAGACTTCCTTCATCCCAAGAGTTTTGTCTATCTACACTGCACATATCATGATCCCTTTTTCCTTTTTTTTTTTTTTTTTTTTTTTTTTTTTGGTACCAGGGATTGAACTCACCACCTCGCACGTGCCAGGCAGGCGCTTATGCTACTGAACTAAATCCCTGGCTACCACCCCGTTTTCATACACTGCAGGCATTTGTTTTGCATTGCTGGCATGTAATCATCTTGCCCTGCTCCTTAATCCAAGCCACGCCTTAAACCTCCAAAAACACTGAACAGTTTCTATCTCTCATTTGTATCTTTCTACCTTCAGTACTGTGAAGTGTATGTTCACACACGCACGACTTAATAAATGTTTACTGAATGTGAAAATTCTGCGCTTTTCAAATGGTGCATGCATTGTGACCCACTATTTCATCAGAGAATAACTCCATGAACTTAGGAACAACAGCTGTTTTGATTTTTAGACAGGGTCTCCCGAAGTTGCTCGGGATGGCCTTGAACTTTCAATCCTGTCTCAAACTCCCTCCCAAGCATGTATTACCATGCCCAGCTAACAATTGCTCTTCTAATGAAAAACAGTAAGACAGACCCCCCAAAAATGTTAAAGAAGATGGGACCACGCAAAGGGAGGTAGTCCTGCATGAACTGAAATTAGACTGTAACATACATGCTGTATGTTCAGGGTCATAGTGTAAATTTTATTTCTTAATGTAGGTCACAGCCAGAACAGTACAGAAAATATTGTTCTAGAATGAGTGAGCTCAACCACTGCTCACTCACATGCAATTATTATTCACGCAGTCAGGTATTTGCCATAAAAAAAAATTCTGATCCATACCCCTGCAGGTCTCCTCCCCTAAGTTCTGTTCCCCTACCAGTGCACCGATCCTGCAGCTCAGAGAAACAAGGAGGCTAAGTCACTAGTTACATTCTCGGCTCATTCTGCAGCCTTCTGCAACCATCCTCCAAATTCAGATGTTGCAAGTTGAGGCTTGGGGAATTTGTTCAGCAAATCACCCTAAGTCAGCCCTGCAACAAGACAGCAGAATTCAGTACTCAGCAAAAAAGCACCGATCCCTTCCGTGTGCAGGTCCCCAGACTCCTGGGAATGGGCGACTGCTAGGAAGAGCCAAGCCCTAGAGAAGTCAATACCCCCAGCAACAAATCTCCACCCACCCCCTCTCTCCTGCAGGAATGAAACATGGGACTAGGCTGAACATCCTGGTAGAGTCCAAAGTTCAACACACTTCAAAGTCCAACAATATATACCTTTAGCAAATCCTATGCTGCTTCTCTCCAACCTCCAACTGCATGCACCCTCATGCCTAGAAGAATAAATGGCCCCAGTTTCCCAGAAGCCCGGAGTCTTTAGACGTGTTTCTCCAAATTCAAGGTCAAGACCAGGCAGTGTCATGTAAATGGCAGCAGCACAAAGAGGTGAAAATGACAGGTGGTACATGCCTGTAATCCCAGCACTTGGAAGGCAGAGGCAGGAGGATTGCCATGAGTTCAAGGCCAGCCTGGGCTACACAGTGAGTTCCAGGCCAGCCTGAACTGCAGGATCCCTACCCCCACAAACAGACCTCCTGGGCCGGACATTCTCAGCTACCTCTATGACCACCCAATGCCTGCTCTCTCGAACACTCTATCCCTGGGGTTCCCAACAAGCCCGGAGCAGCACTTGCTGGCAGCCCACTTACACTCAGATATCCTGGCAAACACAGAAACTTCCACACAGCCTGAGTGTCAATTACTTCTCTGCAAAACACACATTTCTGATTTCTCGAGTTGCCAGCTACAGTGGCTCTAAGACCCTGGCATATAATCAATTTCCACAAAGAATTAATTTCCATTCATCTCTTCCCTTCACCCTGGCCCTGCCAAGGTAATGTATCACACTTTTTTCATTTCCAGTTAAATCCAATGCAAACCCTGGGCACTCCTGGAGTGCAGGAGTTTACTAGCTGACCTGTCTCCTAACGTTACTTTCAAAATCCTTTCCAAACACCCCTTCCTTGCAGTCCTCCCTGACCCTAAAACTTTTAATGTCTGCCAGGACACACAGACAGAACAGCAATTCCCCAGTCTGATTTTCTAGGACTTGCACAATCTCAACCACTGTTCTCTCCATCTTCAGGAAACAGGCAAGTTGGCCAAGGCCATGCTCATGGTCACTCTGTCACCATCTCGAGGGTCTCCGAGAGCGCCCTCCTCTGACCTGCAACAGCACCTGTGTCTGCACCTGCCCACCACACCGTTCATGTGTCCTATCTGGAGGTCTTACTTCCCACCTACCTGTCTTCCCATGCTTCGCACAAGATGACAAGTCCCAAGGCCACGGATCAAACCCAGGTTTTGCACATGCCAGGCAAGTATGGCACCACTGCTGTGCTACATGCCAGCTTCATTATCTTCTGTATCTCCCTCCTCCATAGCTGCTCCTCTGATCCTCCTTTCTTGGCCCTTTCTTCCTGCTATTCCTGTGGACTCTGGGTTCTGCCATAGGCTCACCTTCCTCCAAAAGAAGTGAGCCTTCCCCAACTCGGACTTTTCCTCTCTCTGCTGTGGCTCCTGGCCTTCACCAACTCGGGAAGCCATGGCTCATGCATCTGAAGTTGAGCTCTTAAAGTCATTTCCACCTAGCAGAATAGGCTTCATGGGGCCTTAGATTTCTTGGGTACCTCTTGACATCTCCCAGGAAGCCGGGGGTCCTGCTGAGAACACAGCAGCTCCCAGAAGGACCTGTGGAGTCCAACATAACTACTCTGTCTCAAGGCTCCTCAGTCTCTTTTTACACAACACCCCGGGAATGGGTCCCAAGACCTCCAATACCTGTTGAAGCAAACTGTCCCAAGCCACACCTTCCTGCACAGCGGGTGTGAAGAAAGCAGTGAGGGCCTGCAGATACCCAGCGCCTGCCCAGCTGCACTGCAGGACTGCCAGAGCCTGGGGAGTCTCCAGAGCCCCACAACTGGCAGGCAGGGCTGCCAACAAACAGGAGGCGTGGCGGTGCCCACCACCTGGCTGGTGGGCTCCTTTAGATCTCTCTCCACTAGCCACAATGGAAGGCACAGATCTAAACTCCAAGGCAGGGAAGGAAACGCTGCCTCTGAAATTGTTTGCACATGCCAAACTCCCCGTCCAGGCCCCCACCTGGAAACCCACCATGCCCAAAGTGCCACCGCCTGGCCTAGCACATGGAGTGAGGGGAGCCAGGCCGAAGTCACAGGGCTAGAGAGGGTAGTGGCCAAAGCCAGACTGAGACAGGATGCCAGGCAGACCCGCCAGGAGAAGGGTGTGTCGCGGAGTGGACAGGCGCGAGTGGGGCGTTCGGCCGGAAAGGGTCAGGGAGGGGCCATGGAAGGGCCGGGCTCCCCATAGAGGGTCCTCCAGAGAGGTGACTGCCAACCCCCCCCCCCCCGCTCAAAGTTTGGGAGGATCCTTGGTCTGGAGCACTGGTGCCTGCCAGATAAGGGGGCGCGGGAGAGGACAGGCGGCCACCAAGGTTCCCACCCCTCGGCCACTGGATGGCGCGACCACTGCCACAGTGCCCCCCGCGCCTCGCCCCCTGCCCCCCTGCCGCCGGGCCCCGCGGGCGTGCAGGGCACTGAAGAGCTTGGCACCCACGGGGTGGCTGCAGCACTGCGGCCCTGCGCAGCTCACCTCCCCGTGCTCCACTCTGGCTGCAGCTGGCACTGCCCGTCCTGCCCCGCCCCGTCCCGCCCCGCGCCATCCTCCCCGCGCTGTCTGCCCCCTGACGCGGCCGGCTCCTGGCCGCACGCCCTCCACCTGCTCTATTCGCGCCCACCTGGCCGGCCTCCCTCCCTACCCAGAACACAGCACTCACATACGGGACCCCTGCCACAACCCGGCCTGGATCTAGGGCCAGGAATGGAGCGGCTTGCCTGCCACACCTGATCGCGGACACGGCCCCTGCCTCCCTTTCTCCTCCCTCCCTCCCTCCTTCATCCCTTTCCACCTCTTCCCTCCCTTCCATCGCCCCAGGCTTGCGCCCACCCTGACCCCACACCCCACCTCTGCGCTCCAGAGAAGTGCACCCCGGGTAGACAGTTGGCGCTCAATAAGTGCCCAGGCCCCTCCCTGCACATGCGCACTTGAACCTGCCAGAGTGGTGACCCCCACCTCACCTCCGCCCCAAATCAGAACCCACAGCTGCAGAACCAAACTTGAGGGTGTGCATTTCTTTTTTTTTTTTTTTTTTTTTTTTTTCTTTTTTCACCGAGCTGCTGCAAACCCTGCCAAAGTTTCTCGCTGTTGTTTTTCCAGGCCTGGCTCTGGGACAGGCTTCTCTGAGAGAGGCCCAGCTTGCCCCAGGGCGAGAGAGGAAGCCTGAAAACTGCAGGATGGGCAGGTGGGCTGCGTGGGGGACCAGAGCTTGGAGAGTCCCACAGGGATCCAAGGCCGCAGTAGCAGAATGGGATGGCTCCGCGGGAGGGAGGAAAACCAACCTTTCCATTTGCTTCTGAGTGTTCTCTTCCCCACTTCATGACATCTCCCTGGTTTGTAGTTGTAAGGCAAGGCTTTATTTACTGATTCTGGAATTCAATGGGAGAAAGTTAACTGTTAGCCTTCAACCCTCATGTAAACAATACTGGCTGCTTTTGGTACCATCAGGCCCTGGCTTTTGTATAATTTGTAACAAGTAGAATTGAAGCCTTCCATTGTGTTGCTCTGTGTTTTTTCTAGATAGGACCAGAGCCTCAACTGTAGTACAGGGACCAGGGTGTCTATTTTGAGGCACACTGTATATATTTCTATTGTGAATTTAATGAATACAAGAGGAATCATACTTCCCTGTTGCGAGTGTCTAGTGCACTCTGAACCCCGGGAAGAGGCACACACACACCAAGTCGGGACACGGGGGGGGGGGGGGGGTGCAGCGCGAAGAAAAGAAGCAGCAGAGAGAAACAGCAATTGCAACTGCACAGCAAGTCTTTATTGCAGGGCTCTTATATAGTAAACCAGGTCAACTCACAGAGCACAGGCAATTATCTTGAAAAAACATTCTTTGCAACAAAATTTGTAACCAACTACAATGTTTATCTCTACTCTCTAAGTTAAACAAGCAAAAACAGTTCTTCTAGCCACACTAACCCAGGAGGAATCCCATTAGCCCAAGAATGCTTTTAATTATATTTGTTCTTTCTAGCCACCTGAACGTCGGCCACCTCTTCATGACTCTGCAAACAAAGCCAAGTCACACAGTATGGGTTCAGAGGGGGGAACATGTTCCCTCGCTGGGGTCGGGCCTTCCCGCCCCGTCTCTGTCCTGCATGGGGGGGGGGGCTATTGTTTATTGCAGGTCATGAGGGGGCCAGAGCCTCAAAGTAACTCTTCATCCTCCACACCTCCCCACCCAAAAAAAGTTTAAAAATATTTTCCGACCTGATTTTTGAAACCACAGGACAATTTCAGGCCTGCTGCTTCTTCAGCAAAGGCAAACCTGCTTGAACTGCTAACCTGGCTGCGTGACCTTCAGCAGGGCCTTGAAGTTGGGACATCAGCCTCTTTATGTGGAAGATGAAATACATTCGTGCGGAGATGCTGCCTGGCAAATCAGCACCAACAGTACTTGCCCTGTTGCCCACAATGTGCCAAATAAGAAAATTACCCAAACCAAAATTCCTAGAGGATGGGGGTTTTCAACTGGGGCTGATTTGGCTCTCAGGGGACATTTAGCAATGTTTAGGGACATTTTTGATTGTCACAACTGGGAGGAAGTGCCGCCTACTGGATTTAGGTTGACAGAGCCTAGGATGCCACTAAACTTCCTTAGGGAACAAGGCAGCCCCCAAGGGCAAAGAGTGGCCCTGTCTAAAATGTCAATAGCGCCCCCCTCTGACTTGTCCAGCCCAAGGAACACACTGCTCTGGAGTCATTCCTGAAAACCTCCTGCTACCTTTCAACTGTCCACCTAAAGGAAAGAGCTCTGTTTTTCATTAAGGGGAACAAGGTGTGGGACCTCATCAGTTCCATTAATACACAAAGCTCTGCCAACCCCCACTCAAAGTTGGGAGGGTCCTGGGTCTAGAGCGCAGGCGACCGCAAGATAAGGCAGCGCAGGAGAGGACAGGCGGCCACCACAGTTGCCGCCCCTTGGCCACCCGGCCTGCGCGGCCACTGCCGCAGTGCCCCCCGCGCCCCGCCGTCGTCCCTGGGCCTTCGGCCCCCGCGGGCACGCAGGGCACTGGAAGTGCTTGGCAACCCCACCACCCCCTACCAGCAGGCTGCAGGGCTGGGGCCCCGCGCAGCTCACTTCCCGGTGCTGGGCTCTGGCTGCAGCTGACACCATCCTTCCCGCCCCGCCCCGCGCCCTCCGCCCCCCCACCCCTGCACGCCATCGGATCCCCGACCTCGCGCCCTCTGCCGGCTCCCTTCGCGCCCACCTGGCCGGCCAGCATCCTCAGGGACAGAGGGTGGGAAGACAGAGCACAGGGCTCAGCCAAGAAAGTAAGGGCTTGACAACCTGCACAGGGCAGGAGCCCTTGGCAGGGAGACTGTGTGGTTCTGCTCAGCACTCCAGAGTCAGAAGAACAGCAAGACGAGCTAGAGGCTGGGGCGAGCAGATGGGGGACACGGAGAGAACAGGGCCTTGTCACACACAGACACACACACACACACACACACACACACACACACACACACACACAGACCAACTCCTGGCAAGGAAGGGAACTGCCGCATACCCCACACAGGGCTCATGAAAGCGTGCATGCCAAAGAAAAGGCTGTCACAGTAAATTTGAAGAGAAAGAAAGACAGACAATCTCCCAAGCAAGGGTGCAAGTTACAAAAAAGGAAAAGCAAACTATTTTCAGTAAACTCATCAGAAATGGTTAGTGATGGAGCAACATTTCTTGCAGAAATTCTGCCTCATTGTAAAGTGGATTAAAATGAGTTGTCATAGATACAAGACATGCCTCAAAACAGTGCGGTAAGTTAGGAGAAATGTGAGAGAGGGAAAACCCAAATTGTTACCCTTTACGCTGACTGTAATGTAAGGATCCATGCACTGCCCGGCATCCTTCAGGCCACTCTTCTCGATTGTGATGGTAAACAGTGTCGTGCCCGGCTCTGAGGGCAGCCGTGGTACTAAAGTACCTGGCAACAGGGAAGCCCCAGTAAAAGCCAGCTCTGCCAACAGTTTCACAGTAAATCCTGTCAGCAAACACGGAAATATTCTACCCGCTCTCAATCCATAACCAGGCAAGCACGGTGCAGTCTGGCCTGCAAGCCTCCTGCACGCTGTTCTTCTTTGCAGATGTATTTTATACACAGCAGTGACGTACAGGTCCACATCTCATCACCCTAAGGCAGACATCAATTCAAGTTCAATCAAGGAAAAGTCAGGTGAAAACTTCCAGTAGGTCAAGGAAGCCAGTTATAAATAACCGCAGAATAGCTACGGTGTCCTCTTGCATGTACCTGGGGACATGCCATAGGTTTTACATCTCAGCATTCGGTAGGGTGAGGAAGATGCTTTTTAAATAGTTTGCTGTCCTGAAGTCTCAGAGATTCAGTCAGATCAACACATCCTTTAGTTGCCGTGATAAAGAACGTCATTTGAAGTTTACCAGT